GAGGCAGAGGTAGGCGGATCTCTGTGAGTTCAAGACCAGCCTGGTCTACAGAGCTAGTTCCAGGACAGGCTCCAAAAAAGATTTATTTATTATGTATATAGTGCTTTGCCTGCACATATATCTGCAGGCCAGAAGAGGGCACCAGATCTCATTATAGACGTTTGTGGTTGCTGGGAATTGAACTCAGGACCTTTGGAAGAACAGTCAGTGTTCTTAACCGCTGAGCCATCTCTCCAGTAGCAGGAGGATTCTTGATGAAGAGTATATAAACAAGGCAACAGTGGCTTCTGTACCCTATGTTACATGGATTCCCTTAGAGCAGTGATTCTTTTTTTTTTTTTTTGGTTTTTCAAGACGGGGTTTCTCTATGGTTTTGGAGCCTGTCCTGGAACTAGCTCTTGTAGACCAGGCTGGTCTCGAACTCACAGAGATCCGCCTGCCTCTGCCTCCCGAGTGCTGGGATTAAAGGCGTGCGCCACCACCACCCGGCCCAAACCACAGAGAAACCCTGTCTTGAAAAACCAAAAAAAAAAAAAAAAAAAAAAAAAAAACCAGCCTGGTCTACAAGAGCAGTGATTCTTAACCTTCTTAATGCTTCCTAAATTCCCTTTAATACATACAATTCCTCACATTATGGTGACCCCCAATCAAAACTATTTTTATTGCTACTCCAATGGTCTTGGGTGACCCCCATGAAAGGGTTGTTTCACCCCAAAGGGGTTGACCTAGGTGCCACTGTAGTAGAGTTGACCCACAGGCTAGTTGTGAAGTGGCAGGGAACCAGGAAGCTGGCCTGAGCAGGATTTGACTAGCCCCAACAATGCTACTCAGACAAAGTATATGCAGGCTACCAGGATGTGCTGAATAGGCCTGCTCATTTTTACCTGTTTCACTGTCTCAGCTCTGAACCCATGAGCCCTATTCTTGGTTGTCCCTGTAAATACAAACCGTAAGCTCTGATACACCATGACCCTAGACTGAAGCCCTTCAGCTGTATACTGATGTCACTTCTCCCCTCCTGGTGCACTCCAGAAAACAGCCTTTCATCTCTAAGGATAGATGGTTTCAGGAAGGCACAGAGCTTAATACAAAATCCAATCCTTTAATGAGAACTGGGACATACAGTCGCGTTTCCCCTGGAAGCTCAGCTGGCAGTGCACAGTTGCACACACTCACTCCTGCCACCCCGAGTGCACAGCTGCACACACTCCCACCACCCAGGCACGCACACTAGAAAACAAGCAGGTAACAGCCCACGTCTTACACCCCAAGTGTCCTGAGAATTGTTTATTCAACCTCATAAAATTTCTCTAGAGCTGGTGGCCTGCACTCAGCATTGCACAGATAAAAATATAAGACTTTCAACACAGACCTAAATACCTTCACATTTTAAAAATCAGAATTCTCTATACAAGTGTTAAGCTAACAGAATTCAAATTCTGAGTTTTCATATATAGCTTTCACTTGTATTAAGCACATGTTTATTTACAACGCAAATAGAGAATAAGGGGCTATTAAGGCCATTTCCTCATTGTGAAACACTGGAAAGTATGTACACAAGTATAACCTAATATAGGCAAACATGTGAAAAATCATCTTTCTTGGCTTTACGTAATTGAGTATCGGTTTAGGAGTGAAGCGACAGCTCATCAATAGCACCAAGCCACGCCAATGGGGACGAGTGCCTCTGCTGTTTCATCCAGTTACCTGAAGATCTGCAGCTGAGATGCACCTCCAACTGGGACAGGCGTGCAGCACTCCCCAGGCCAGCCTCAAGGGCACCTTGTTTGCCGTCCTATCAGTTAAATTCACCTCAAGGTCCAATTGAAAACACTTCCAAAAACCATCATGCTGCAAGGCCACTGAAGCCAAGGTGTGCCCAACAGGGAGGGACCAGGGCAGCCACCAGGAAATCCATCTCACCTCCGGTGTCTGCTGTGTCCAGGGTGGTCCCGCTCATAGCGATGGCCTGTGCGCTCGTAGGACCTTGAGCGCTCCCGTCTCTGATCTCTGTAGTAATGACTTTTCTTCTTGTATTTTCCAGAATTGTCTGTCCGCTCTCGTGACCGGCTTCGAGAACGAGAGGAGCTCCGGCTACGAGACTTGTGTGGCTTCTGGGTGAGGTACTTGCAGTCCTTTGCTTTCCGGGAGGCCCTCACTTCTGAGCCTTTGTAGGGAGCACCACGGTGCACCTGCCTTGGAGGAGAGTCACTGCGGCTCCGAGAACGACTCTGTGACTTGGACCCACCCGAGGTAGAGCCACTGTCACTTTTCCTGTGAAGAGAAAAACATGCTTGTGATCCTAGCCAAGCCCTACCTAACAAAGGAGGAGCTGGCAAAGAGGCTTGTTTTGTTTTGTTTCACGTTTTGAAACAGGCTTTCTCTGTGTACCCTGGCTATCTTGCCTTGCAGACCACTCTGTAGACTAAGCTGGCCTCAGACTCACCTATCTAACTGCCTCTTTCTCCCAATGGCTGGGATTAAAGGCATGTACCACTACCACTTGGCCACAAAGAATCTTAAATTCAGAGAAAGAAGAACCACATCAGGTTAGGAACCCCCGTCCCACTGGGTGTGACGGCACACTCCTGTAATGCCCGAACTTGGGAGGCAGCTTGCTCTACAGAGCAAGCTCCAGGACAGCTAGGGTTACACAGAAAAGAAACCCTGTTTCAAATAAAATAATAATAGTAATAGTAAAGAGCCAGTGCCTACATTATTGCAGGAGACATCTATATGTGCCCTCCTACTATCCTAAGAAAACACCAGGTTAGAGTCTCATGGGCAAGCACCAGGCACACACCTTCTCTTCGGAGAAGCAGACCGGGACGGGGATCTTGAGTAGCTCTGTTCACGGCTCCTGCTTTGACTGCGACTCTCGTGCCCTTTGGGCAAGCTGCACACAGGAACAGAGTAGTTAGAGACCTGCAATATCTTTAGCCTCCACTGTCTACCTAGGCAGACACGAGCATCTTACCCATTCACAGGGCTGTCTGCCTTGGCTTTCTTTGGGCCCTCCACTTTCCGTTTGGCGTTCTTCACAGAGAGAGGGGAAGACTTGTTTCCTTTACCTTCTTTAGGGGATTCTACTGAACCTAACAAGAAATTAAAACCATAATCAGAAATTTCTTCAAATAAGAAAAAATCCTATCTTGAAACACAAAAGTCAAAATAAATATACTAGCAAAGCAAGACAAGACCATTTGTAACTAACTAACTAACTACCCTGGAGCCCAGAATGAAAATACACAAGACACAGTCAGGCCTTCTGTTCAGACCTATTTTGCCCAGGGACCAGGGAATGAGTACCATATTCTATGTTCTAACAATATAATCATAGACTCTAAATTTAAAAATTTAGCTGGGCGGGGGGGCTGGAGAGATGGCTCAGAGGTTAAAGAGCACTGGCTGCTCTTCCAGAGGTCCTGAGTTCAATTCCCAGCAACCACATGGTGGCTCACAACCATCTATAATGAGATCCAGTGCCCTCTTCTGTCGTGCAGGTATACATGGAGGCAGAATGTTGCATACATAATAAATAAATCTTCAAAAAAAAAAATTTATCTGGGTAGGGGTGGTGCGTGCCTTTAATCCTAGTACTCAGGAGACAGGGCAGCCTGGTCCACAAAGTTTGTTTCAGAACAGCTGGACAGTCAGAGCTGTTACAGAGAAACTGTGTGTGTGTATGAGAGAGAGAGAGAGAGAGAGAGAGAGAGAGAGAGAGAAAACAAGCCAACTTGGTAGATATGGTTAAGAAAAACAAACGAATTAAAAACAAACAAACAGCATTTCAGAAAGGCTGTCCATATTTCTTTCTTTTTATTTTATTTTTGGTTTTTTTAGACAGGGTCTCTCTGTATAGCTTTGGAGCCTGTCCTGGAACTCGCTCTGTAAATCAGGCTGGCAAACTCACAGATCCACCTGGCTCTGTCTCCTAAGTGTTGGGATTAAAGGTGTGCAACACCACTTTCCAGACATATCTCTTAATATGAAAACAATCCTTGGGTCTGCTCTGACTTATTTTAAGGACCACTAACAGATTGCTAGGGATTCCAGTGCCAGAGTACTGTTGAGATAAGCTGCAATCAACTCCAGGAGATATCTCACAGGCAGTATCACATATCCCCAAACCAAGTCAGGTTACAAACCGCTCCCTTGTGAGGAATAAACTCTCAACACTCACCCAGCTTGGAAGCAGGTGAGAACCCTGCAGCACTGTCCAGAACTGGAGCACTCCCTGGTAGCAGCCCCCTCGCTCGTGCCTTGGCCTCTTCGATGGCATGCTTTCTCTTCTCCACCTCACTTTCTAGGTGTGTCAAATCAACCTGAAAAAGGCAGAATCATCCATCCATTCAGAACCAAATGCTTCTGGCCAAACACAAGCAATTAATCCATACAAAAACACAGAGGAACCTTTTTCCGTGTATAAAGCTGCAGGATTTTAAAGCAGATTTCTTGAATTTCTTCTTCAGTTGCTCCAAACAAAAGAAACCAATGGGGACGATTGGGTAAAGGGATCTGTGAACACATAAGTAATCATGTCACTTGCTTTCCTTAAGAACTCCAAGGCCAGGTATGGTGGTGCATACCCACACCTTTAATCCTACCACTCAGGAGCAGAGACTGGATCTCTGTGAGTTTGAAGACAGCCCTATCTCAAAAACAAAACAACAAAAACAACAACAACAAAAAAAAAAACACCACTACTACCACCCTCACCAAAACACTTCAAGGCCAACAAGATTCTTAGGGTAACACCTAAAATGGCCTGCCAGTTTAGCAAGAAACTCTTCTGCAAATGAACCTAATTTGACAAACACATTAACATTTACCAGAGGCTGGAGAAAGGTCTAGAGTCTAGATTAAAACCCAGAGAGCCGCACACTTACCTCCAGTGTCCGGGCAGCGAGGTAGATACAGGCACAAGCAATGCTCTCAGGCTGGAACCGCACGAAGACATCTGTGCGAAGGCTATCATTCATGTAGTTCCTGAAAAGAAGACCAGGAAGACTGTAGTGCTGTGGGCAACTGTGCCACCACCTGCCACCAAAGGTTGATATTCCTAAGGGTTCTACACTAGGGCTGAGCTGGGTACTCTGGGAATCTCCAGAGATACCTGGGGCATTCTGAATACATGAAAGAAAGAAATCACTGGGGGAAAAAAGCTGGCTGAACGTCAAACAATACGTGTTGCTATGAACGAGAACCGACTTTAACTTTACTTTTCCTTCTCTATTTGGCCTGCTATCATGCAAAGCACAATGCTTGGAAAGAAAATGCTACTTGGTAGTTAAAATGTAGTCAATTAAAGAAATCTAAATGTTCAAAATCCATAGTGCAGAGAAACATGCAAACTCAAATGAGCAGGCTGAGCATGAGCCTCGAAACTGTGAGACAAGTTGTCCTGTGTTCCTTTTCTTCAGGCAGCACTTGTGGCCCGGTCCTTCTCCAGATGACTGAGCCACAGCTCCAGGGAGGGAGTCCACTTGGAAAAGGGAAAGGCCCTTGGGTGCAGTTCAGATGCATGGGCTCAACACCCAAGGGAATCCTCTTCTCGGTCTTATCAAAGAACGTTTCCAAACTGTCCCATTTCAACAAGGAGTCTTAAAATGAACATTCATAAAAATCAGACAAAAGCAACAAAACACTAAAAGTGGCAACAAAGTACACTTAAAAATGCTATAATACTTTAGAAAACATATGTAAGTACAAAACTTCACATTTTTAGAAAAGTTCTAAAAATTGGCTAACTTTTTACATTTTCTTTATATTCCTTTAAAATTTATAGATTATAACCAAATGGAATAGTAGCTTTATCAACATTGCAAAAAACAATGAGAAAACATGTGAAGAGGTTATATTATACACTGCCCAACATATCCAATAATGGCACAGCATACCCTAACGCCAGGCTGTACCTCATGAGATTCAAATGCCCCACCCAGTACCTTTGTCCTAAAACCTCAGAGAAGGTAACATTCAAACCCATTCTAACATTTTAAACAAATTCTACAGATGTCTATGAGAGGCAGCTGGCCCTGGAAGCATTAACTCTATACATCAGAAGTCAGAAAGATAGCTGCACTGTCCATCTCTCAGGAGCCATTCTGTGGCTAAACAGCATAAACATTAACAAATATCACACATAACTTTATTACTGATAAGGAATTTTTAGTATTCAAATATATTAACACAGTATTTTAAGTTCTAAAAACAAGTGAAATCCTTTAAATGTGTATTTAAACTTAATGCTACATTAGAAATAAATTACAATAGTTTAACTTAAAGATGAATACCTTTACTGGAATAAATCCTACTTAAGCTGCTGAAAAGAGCAACTGTAGGACTTGGGAGAAATAATGAAAAGATCCAGTAACAGCCTGAATTTCCACTATGCCAATTTGTCACTTCAGTTCTTACCGCTTTCTGTACATATTTTTTTAATATTATTTATTGTGTATACAGTGTTCTGTCTGCATATATGCCTGCAGGCCAGAAGAGGGCAGCAGATCACAATACAGATGGTTGTGAGCCACCATGTAGTTGCTGGGAACTGAACTCAGGACCTCTGGAAGAGCAGTCAGTACTCTTAACCACTGAGCCATCTCTCCTGCCCCACATATATATATATATATATTTTTTTTTTTTTTAAAAGAAAGGTATTGCATCTTTATTGTACAGGTACAGCAATTTTAAAAGAACAAAATTCAAGTCAAGACAATTATCAACTCTAATTGATACAATTACCAAGCACGACAGGATTAACAAGAAGCACAATCGTCAGAGAACCACAAGCAGCAGTCGGCCATGACTATACTATCAGGTACGCATACCACCAGTCTAGAGCCAGCCTTCGGTGGAGAGCCTGCACTGGATTGGCTGAAGACGGCCGCTGTCCCTGCACCAAAGCGCTTGGACAGCAGAGGAGAAGTCTTAGTCACTTACCCTCAGAGGCTACCCTTTGATTGAAAGAGTACAGAAAAGAAAAGTCAAAACAGGTTCTCTATAAAGCATGTCATAGCACCAGACAATTCAGTCAGCAATATGACCCCATAGACTTAATTCTGTGGGGAAAATACCCCAACACCTAACTGTTACTTCAGGCTTCATTCTAGCATATGCCTGCTAAAACCAACCCGGGACTGCATCAAAAGCCTTTCCCTTCCCTCAGTTCCCTGGAAACAATAGCACTGATTTTGTGATTGGAGCGACCACCTAGAACATTCCTACACCCAGCTGGCAAACCCCAGAGGGAAGTGTACGGACTACTCTCATGGGGTGGGAGCATTGGAAATACAGGGGCAGGGGTGGATGGGCCACCTACCGTTAAGACTGTCCCTGTCATTTTGGGGGAGGCACTGAGACAATTCCAGACCATAACCAAGTCATGGGATGACAACCCACTGCCCAGGTGCCTCAAGTAATACATTCCTGAACTGCCCTTGCTGGTCTCATAAAACAAGGAAAATCAACTCACCATGCAGTCTGGACCAGGTGTTGGTTACGCTCACACTCTAACACCTGAAGGTACATAACGATTATCTGGAAGATATGGGTCAGGCAGTTATTAACAAAAACTCGGAGAGCACGGAACTCAGATTTTGGTGTCCATGCAGCAAAAGAACCTCAAGCTATACCCCAGGGAGCTCCTGGTGATGTCCGGCAGACAGCTCAACTTTTAGGATGTGCTTGCTACGTGCTTTTATAGTTGGGCAGAGTGCATATGTGAAGACCAATCTGCACCTGTGGCATGGAAGGCCTTGTTTTCCATGTGGCTCATTTTCATTCTTGCTGACAAAACCTTTCCACCAGAGAGAGTTGCCTGCACTATACATCCCTGTACCCCAGTAGCCAACTTGCACAAAACATGAAAATACATTAAACACATTAAGAAAAGCACTTAAAATATTTAGTTGAGAATTTATCAAGAATCTAATGTCAGAAACTCAAATAAGCAAGAGAAGATGACAAGGCCAGAGAAATAAACATGAACTTTTGCTACCCAAGTGCCAAATTTACAGTGTGCTCTATTGAACTCAGCTAAACCTGAAGCTTTCAAGTTTCAGTTTAGCTACACTAGATAAGACACTCATGGAACAATCTAATAAATTCACTTCTAGTCAGCACATATTATAGACTACTTGGTTCATTTTGAAATAAAAGAATTCAGAATTCTTCTGTTCTTCCAAAGAAGATATTAAAGCTATTTCTAAAGTAACTTTTTTAAAAAAGGATTTATTATTATGTATACAGTATTCCATCCACATATCAGAAGGCACCAGATCTCATTACACATGGTTGTGAGCCACCATGTGGTTGCTGGGAATTGAACTCAAAACCTCTGGAAGAGCAGAGTGCTCTTAATTGCTGGTTCCATCTCTCCAGATCCTCCAAAGTAACTTTTAAAAGTTTGCTCTTAAGTGCTAAGGAGAAAGCTCAATCAGTAAAGTGCCTGCCTCACAATCACTGGAACCCACATACGAATGTTGGGTATGGAGCACACAGGAAGTCAGCTGAAGCACGGCTTAGGTGGCTGCAGGTGCCAAGCCGAACCCACCTTGTGAGGATGCTTCACATGGACACAGAAGCCCAGCTCCTTGAGAACGCGTCTCTCTGCCTTTATAATCTGGTTTTTTAAATTAACATACTCTTGATCCAGCACCAGAGGCACAGGTTTCCTGCAAAGACAAAGCATATGCTCTGTAGAAAATTCTTTCAGATTCCACCAAGCGATAAGTGCTGCGGGACCGGAAGTCTACAAGTTCACTTCCTTCGCAAAGTCGCAAAACAGTCCTCCAACCCCAATTCTAACCTTTAATAATTCTTTATTTATTTAATAATTCTTTATTTTTCACCTGAGAGAAAGACCCTACGTATACTTTATTACTAACCTGCCCCTTGTCTCTACACATTGTTTTCTAGAATATTCAGGAGGAGGATCTCAGGATCTTTGCACAAGGGCTATATAACATGTCAGATTCAAGAAAAAAGATCAACCTTTCTGGTTGGATGGGAAATTACAGAACCAATAAAGCACAATAAAGTCACCCCTCAGTATACACTGGAGCTGGTTCCCATGACTACTTTCACCTACTCTAATACCTATGAATGCTCAAGTTTCTTATACAAAATGGTGACATATCCCCATAGCACTTACAGACAGCCTCCACATGTTTCAAATCACTTGGGCACTGTATGATACCTAGTACAATATAAATGCTATACACATATAGTTCCGGTACTGTTGTAAGGAATAGTGACACCCAAGAGTTTCAATCCAAGGCTGGTTGAACTCTTGAGTGAGAAAGCTGCAGATACAGATAACAGACTATTGAAAAAGATACCAGGTTGTAGCTGGGTGTGATGATGTATGCCTTTGATCACAGAGACAGGTGGATCTCTAGATCAGCCAGGTCTACAGAGAAACCCTGTCTCAAAAACCCAAACCAAACCAAAGAGACCAGGTTGTGTTTTAAAGGGGTTTCTGTTAAGCTGGGCATCGTGGTACATTTCCCTAACTCCAGCACTCTGGGGACAGACAGGCCACCTGAGCGAGGAAAGCCTAGTCTGGCCAAGCCAACTAAGGCCACACAGCAAGACTCTGGTTTAGAAAAGAGCAGAACAAAACAAAAACTAAAGGGCTTCTGTGAACAAGAACAGGAAGTCTGGGATATGGTCCATGACTGGGGACAAGTCAGCTGCCTCCCTCTACGTCTACCATGTGGGACCTGGGCATCAAATGCAGGTCCCAGGCTTGGCAGCAGCTCATTTACCCACCAAAGCATCTCATCAACCCTGCGTATATATTCTTTAAAATTTATACTGTTTGTGTGGTTTATGGGTTGTGCCTGTGGAGGACAAAGGACAACTTGTGGAAGTCAATTCTCTCCTACCCTGTTGATCCCAGAGCTGAATGCAGGACAAGAACCTACTGAGCCATCTTACCACTGCTTTGGGTTTTACCTGTTTCTGAGACAGGATCTTCTTACGTCGTGTGTTCTTCTGTGATAGGGTCTTACATATTCCAGGCTGATTTAAATTCATTATGTAGTTGACAACAGACAACCGTGAACTCCTGATCCTATTTCCAACTCTTACTCACCAGGATTTGTTCCAAGGGTGGGTTGGGTTTTGTTTGTTGTTTTGCTAGACAGGGTTTCTCTGTATAGCCCAGGCTGTCTTGCAACCAGTTCTGTAGACCAGGCTGACCTCAAACTCAAGACATCCTCCTGCCTCTGCCTCCTGAGTGCCATGATTAAAGGCATGCGCCACCATGCCAGCTCTCCATGGGTGCTTTAAAAAGCAGTACTTGGAGACAAGCATGCTCATGTATCTGAACATAAGGGGAGATTGGGAAGGAACTGCTGAGAGGAGAACCCAGCTGCATCTACATTTCCAGGCCATTTAACTACACGGCAAGGTCAGATATCAAAAGACCATCCCAAGAGGCATTCTGCTACAACTTAGGAAGGTTTCTGGCAAGGAGACCGGGAATGCTGACAAACACAACACAATGCTGGGACAGCTCTCTTAACGAAGAATCACTAGCTTAGACACTGTCAGCACAAAGGGTGAGATCCACTGGTCTGGGGCTTGGTGATTCTGAGAAATGAAACACAGAGCAGACAGGACAACAGGGTGGCATTCCAGCAGGGCTAGAACAGCCAGTTACCCTATCACCGTGCTCCCCCCCCACTGCCCCCATGGTATGGGGCACTTAGGAACAAACTACTGCGAATCCATGGGTTGGTATAACAGACAGACATTTGACAGCTCTGGAAAGGACTCACTTTTTCTCTCTGAGATGCCGAAGGCGGTGGAATACATTGATGACATCCCTGATTCGTCTTGGAGCCTCTTCTATTTTGGAAGCCAGGTGAACACAAGCCATGGACACATGCTGAAACGTACATTGGGACACGGGTGTTTTTCCCCAACCTGAGGACCTTCCGGGGCGTTAAAAACTATTAGGAGCAAACAGAAGGTACAGAGACAGGCCTCCAGGGAGAACGGTATAAAGTTTGCAGGACAGTATTCAGTTCACTAAGTAAGTAGTGGGCACAACAAGCCAGCTTTCCTCCCAATCCATTTCTCTGATAAAACAGAGAGAAGCCTACCTCCATGGAATGTTTCACGAAGGACTTCGTGTAAAAGAACCGCTGGAACAACACCTGCCCTGTAGCCATGGCCACCTAGGGATGGAGAAGATTCCATCACTTTTGAAGGCAGAACTCAACCCAGCTCAAGCGTCCAGTGTAGTTCCTTCTCCCAGGACAAATACCCACGACAGATCCCACTTCCCCAGAGAACTTCTGTCTCGCGGGGCGGTCCTGGGGTTTGTAAAAGGGCCTTGGCCCGAGGGCGTGGGGGAGGGGAAGCCCGGGCGCGGGCCGCACTCGGAGCGGGTCAGCGGCCAGGTCGGAGGCACGGAGTCGGTATTACGTCAAGGCTGCGGTGCGGGTTGGGCTCCGACCTCGGGCCGGTCCCGGGACATGGGCCAAGCCGACAACAAAGGGCCGGCCGGCACTCTCGACCGCCGGCGGACGGTTACCTACTACGCTCGCGGCCGCGCCCTTACCTGCGGCAGGCGGAGCAGGATGCCGGCTGCCTGAATGAGCTCGCAGCCCACCACGCGGAGGCCGGTCTCCGTGTCGCTGTCGAGACCGCTCGACATGGATGGCGTGAAGCGCAGCTTATCGTCGGGCAGCAGACAGTTCTCCAGGGTGATGAGTACGCCCGAGTAGAGCCTGTCACCGATCAGCACCCCCTGCGACCCTGGGGTGGCTCCCCCCGAGCCGGAAGCCCCGGCCGCCAACGCGGGGGCCGCCAGCACCGAAGCCCCGGCCGCCGCCGCCGCCATTTTGTGCCGCCGATTCTTTTTTGGGCTCTTCCCGGAGGGCGGCTCCTCGCGACCAGCCCGGCCGTCCCGCCTCCGCCTCCGCCCATTGGCTGTGCGTCAGCGCCGCCTCGTCCCCATTGGCCGCACGGTCTGTTCTTCTGTATCGCGTCAGCCGCTGACGCCGGAAATGGCCTTGGGTGGGGCTGCTCGTTACCCACTCGGCTCTGCGGCCTGGGCGGACTCGGAAGCGGTCGGTCCGGAAGAGATTGCGGTGCTGCTGCCGCGGGAACCGGGGTTCTAGAAGGGAGTCTTTCCGTGGGGACCGGGGCAGGATGGCTTCGTCCCCACAGTTGCACGCGCTCAGCATCACAGCGCGGTTTAGCCCAGGGGCTTTAGTTCTCAACCCTTCCTGCTGGCTTCTGCTCGGTTGCAGCTGCGGGGGGGGGGGGATCTGTCCGCATGGAAAGTGCAGGTTAAAGAACTGGAAAGATAGGCTTAGCTGTTAAGAGCACTGGCTGCGAGGATGAGACTGATGTGGTGGAGGGGACAGTAAATGGTGTCACCCACACAGGTGCTGGAAAACGGTCAACTGGATCAGGAGCAGCCGCAGCCCCTCTCCATGGCCAGGGCATCCCAGAACAGCAGCACGGATCCTTGCCTACAGAGCCCTCTGACCCACCTAGTGACAGCAAAGCTACATGATGATACCTCTGCAATAGGTCATGGTGACTGCCCCTAGGTAGTGATGTGTGGCCTTTGGGCTGGTGGAAATATCCTCTCCTCTGGTAGGTGACTTGCTTCTGGCCCAGGCAGGGTAAAACACTTGGACTCTTCTTGCAGCAGTAAAAACATGGAATCGCACGTAGTAGAGAGCTTAAAAAATTAAAGGCCGTGCTTACAGCTCAAAACGAAGCCTTAAGCTGCACAGCGTTGTGAAGTGATTAGTTTCCCTTTCAACAAAGCTCATGGAGGCTCTGAAATACATCCCTGACAGGCCGTCTTCTCTAGGACCTAGGGGCAGCATACCCCATTAGTGCCATGGAGCTGACAGGGTCTGTTGAGGTGCCTCTCACTCCCCTTGGAGTTTGCTTTTGTTTTATTGAAGATAACCAAGCCGCTGGGAAGTGGGTGTTAGGGCCCTGGAGGCACTCTTGGGCAACTCAGTCACTCTGTCCACTTCACCTCAGAAGCAGCTTGCCTGACAACTGATTAGATTGTTCTAGAAGATGTGCCCTACCCTGCTAGACCAAAGTTATTGGTCATGTGGGACAAATTCATTAGGTCCCCTCCCCAAGCATGTCTCATCAGCTGTAAGGACTACTGAGAGATTGTCAGACAAACGGGCTGCCTGGAAAAGACTCCCCAGGTTGTTGAACTGCCTGTAAGCTCTGCAGTGCACCCCAGTCTTCATGAGTCTCCCTCATGTCATGGTGGGGTTTGGTGACAGAGCTGTGAGTCATTTCTGCTCCCATACGGAACCCAGTAAACTCACTGGCTCACCACTGGACTTTAGTAGTGTCTTCAATTTGGTCCTACCATACAGTCCCCACAAAGCAGACTAAAAAATGGCCTGATAAGATTTTACTATAACAGAGAACAAAGTAAATCATGGTCAGGGTCTCCTGGGTTGTTTCCAGGAAGTGGCTCTAGTAAGATCAAATGTAAACCAAGTCATGGGAGGCAAACAGTGGATACCACAATGACGGTAAGGGAGTGCAAACCGCAGAACCTGATAGAGGCAGGAGAGAACAAGAGGGGGCCTCACACATTATCCCCTGCAGGAGGAGGAGCGACAGAGTCTGCATTATACAGCAGAAACAGAGCTGCTGAGGTGCTGCTCTAATGCACAATTTATTCCTGAACCTTACAGAGCAGTCTCATTAAAACACCTAGCAGGAGGATAGAAGTTTGGAAGACCCCTTTAAAGCTGACCCGCCCTTTCAGGCTGAGACCAAGAGCATCACATTCCTGATATTAGGACATATTCCCCTGATCTGAACCCAACTGGGAACATGGAAAGAGACAGGAAGCCAGGTGGTGGTGGCGCATGCCTTAAATCCCTGCACTCGGGAGGCAGAGACAGGCAGATCTTTGTGAGTTTGAAGCCAGCCTGGTCTACAAGAGCTAGCTCCAGGACAGGTCCCAAAGCAACAGAGAAACCCTGTCTGGCTCAACAGCTGAACCACTGGGCACATGCCATATATATAAGCAAAAAACCAAAAGAGGTTAATATCAATCCTGTTTACAGTAAGTTTACAGACTCTGGGGTACTTACTTAAGGAAGACCAGAAAATGGTCATTTCAGAAACCTGGTATAGAATCCCTGCTTATAGGAAAAGCAGCATGTAAAGCTGAATCCTACTATTCCCACGTAACAGCCTCTCCCATAATAGGCAGTCAATGACAAGTACATGGGTACTTCAGAGGCTTTATGCATCTAAAGGTGTGTTTGTCTGATGCCAGAAAATAACTCACAAGCTGAACACTGCAAAGGCTTTATTTGTACAATCTTTACATGATAGTTTTGGGAATATATCACTGAGTAAAAAACTTTTCTCTCAGGCCTGTTGCTAAAATATAAATAAATACAAATCAGACTTCCTGGTGACTAGACAAGTCCTTTTGCTCCTATCTTATAACAATTTCCACAGCACTGCAGTCTTCAGTGGTACTGTACCACTCTAGAAAAGATGCCCTCTGGCTCCTTTCCATCCCCCAGAGCTGCAGCAAATCCTTCCTGCTGCCTCCTCTTAGCCAAAGCTGCCAAAGACTTAAAAGTCTTTGGTTCATAGATGGCCAGGTCCACAAGTACCTTCCTGTTGAGCTCCACCTGGCACTGGGAAGAAAAAGAACCATAGCCTGTAGTAAGCATCAGAAACCATTTGAGAAAGCTAGGTATGGTGGTGCACGCCTTCAATTCCAGCACTGTGGAGGCAGAGGCAGGCAGATCTCTGTGCATTCCAGGCTAGCCAAAGACTATATAGTGAGACCTTATGAAAAAACAACAAAAGACAACAGAAATTACTTCAGTAGAATACAGGAGATCCCACATGGGAACAGACAGGAGGATGCAGCCACAAGACCTCTAGTGAGTCTAGCGTAGCTAGCACCACTCTACTGGTGTGGAACAGTTGGGAACTGTGGGATAGGCAGAGCAAGAACATCTTGCCTGTAAAACATAGTAGGACACTGTAGGACAATGTGATTAGGGACAAGGAAGGGTCTTGTAGAGGCTGTGACAAAGAAGAACCAGCTGAAGCCCAGGGCCCATAATTAGGGTCAGAGGTCACTTATGCACTAAGACTTCTGGCCTGGGCTAATCCTTTACTGTAATTCAGAGATATAAGCTCATTAAGACTACTGGGCCAGCAGAAGCAGGTGAGTTCACTGGCACTGAAGGACACCAGAAATAGATGCAGTACACAGACATACATGCAGGCAAAATAACTTAAAACAAAACAAACCTCAAACTCAAAAGTTAAAATTAGTTTAATATCCTTTTTCTTTCATACAGAAACAACCAAACTGGCGACTGTTGCAGGATATTTGATCACACTGTGTGAGAATGTGTCTCTGTCCTTCCTTTCCTGCCTAAGGCACCTTCTGATTGATTTAATAAAGAGCTGAAGCCAGGCGATGGTGGCGCACGCCTTTAATCCCAGCACTCGGGAGGCAGAGGCAGGTGGATCTCTGTGAGTTCAAGACCAGCCTCGTCTACAGAGCGAGTTCCAGGACAGGCTCCAAAGCCACAGAGAAACCCTGTCTCGAAAAAAAAAAACAAACCAAAAACAAAATAATAATAATAATAAAGAGCTGAATGGCCAAAAGTTAGGCAGGAGAGACTAGGCAGAACTTCCAGGCAGAGAGAGGAACTCTGGGAAGAGACACGGAGGAAGTAGGATGTACCGTATGGATGAGAGGTAACTAGCCATGTGGCAGAATGTAGATTAATATAAACAGACTAACTTAAGTTTTAAAGAGCTAGCTGGGAATAAGCCTAAGCTAAGGTCAAGTTTTCATAATTAGAAAAAAAAGTCTCCATGTCATTATTTAGGAGCTGGTGGTTCAAAGAAAGACTTGTTACACTTGGCACCCCACAATGGGAACCAAAATGTTTTTTTCATCAGCACAACGGCTGCCCCTGAATCTACTGCTGTTTCAGCCAGTAATTGTGGCTGTACAGTTACTGGGCCACGTATCAGGCAGCAGACTGGTGGGACTTTTATGTCCACTGACTCCACCTCCTGCTGCCACCACCAAATGTCGTTTTTCACCAAATCTCTATCAGTCTATTTATCAATAAAACTCAGGAGTCAGAGGTTAGGGTGAAAACCTGCTAGCTCAGAGGGGTTGAGAAGCAACTGGCTGGCCTTCCAGCATTTCAGAAATAGAGCACTCTTTGCTCTACCAAACCAAAAAGCACTGCCACACTCAAAGTCCCTCCCTGCTACTTCCAGTTCGTCTCTCCATCCGTCTTCCAGACGCCCTCTGACTTTCTGATTACTTTCTGTCAACTAGTTGCTGGTTCTTCCTCCTGACCCAAGGTTGATTTTATTTAATTAATGCAAACGCAAATTCAGGATTCGCAGTGTGACTGAATATCCCAAAACAGTCAACTGTATGACATGCTCTATTTACGATGTGCTGAAATATCAGCAAGGCAAGGAAAAAGCAGGCACGTTTCCAGAACCCCAGAGAGACAACAGATAGTTCAGGGTGCAGGCCTAACAACACTCATGTCTGCCCATGGACATCTGATGGGGTGATTCCTTCAAATGCTCAACACCTCAACAAGGCCCTCAACTTACCTTAATTAAGTTGACCATGAATGCTGGGTACTGTAAGCCATGTTCCTGGGAGGCAGCTGAAATTCGATTAATCCAGAGCTGGAATTAAAATAGATCAAAGACCTCAACATAAAGCCAGCCATACTGAAACTCATAGAAGAGAAAGTGGGAAGTACACTTGAACACATCGGCACAGGGAACCACTTCCTAAATATAACCCCAGGAGCACAGACACTGAGAGAAACAATAAATGGGACCTCCTGAAACTGAGACGCTTCTGTGAAGCAAAGGACACGGTCAACAAGACAAAACGAC